ACTAGCAGCAGTTTACCTAAGCCCAGCATGAAGGACTCAATCCAAGCCAAATTAGAGTATTTGCCAGTTTACTGGGGGCAGCTCTCTACTGGGTTCACTGATCCCTATAAACCAGAGAGTTCAGTAGTCCCAAGGAGGTCAGAAAATTTGCTATGGGGAGAGAGAATTGGGGGGTGGCAGGGGAAAGAGAGAAAAGAATGAGCAAAGTAAGCAGGGAGAGAAAAATGCAGGGTGGGGGAAGGGAGGGACAGAGAAAGTGGAGGGGGAAGGAGAGGAAAAGAGAGAGGGAGATAGAGACACAAAGACAGAGAAACAGAGAGACAAAGAGCACAAAATGTCTAAATTATATAGGAAGAGCTTTTGGGGGAGGGAAAGCCCAGCCCCTGGGCTGGAAAGTTCAGGATACAAGGCAGGGTATGCCAGACAAACCCTCTAACAGGTGGGGACTGAGGAGTGCTGGGAGAATCTGCAGGTCCTGCCAGCTTTGGTGTGTGCAATGTGCACATCAGCTGCTTGTCCCAAGTCTGAATCCCAACAGCCACGAAACAAAACTCTTTTTTCCCCAAATCTCTCTTTAATTGTTAATATCCTGGGCACTCTTCCACTTGTGGGACAGATTGATAACTCTACTGTAAGTTGAGTGATGGGCTATGCAAGCTATTTACCCTGATTGCAGGAGGAAGAAGGGAAAGTGCCTATTGAGTGTTGTGAGGAGAGGACCTGAAGTCAGGACCTGGTGAGCACTGGGTCACTGCCCACAAAGGGGAGGAGCAGGCGGCGGCTGAGCTGTGGTAGCTGGGGTGATGGGTCCTCCCTGGAGCTGGGTGAGGAGACGGATGGGTAGGCTATTAGAGAACAAGCACAAATGCTACTGAAACCCAAATCCTTGCGGATCTGGGAAAGGTCTGGCCCTGAACTGGCAGCCTGGTCTGAGAATCTCTACACTGTGCGGTTTCTACACACTCTAACTCTAAGGTAAGTGCTCATGTCACTCAAGACTCACTGACCAATCAGAGCCTGCAGGAGGACCTGCCAGTCAGAAGATGAGGCAGTTTCTTCCGGGTTCTGTGCTGCAGGTTCCGCTTAGTCGCTGAGTCGACTTGAGAGCTCTTGTGTGAAGTGCTTTCTGTCCTGATGCTGTGAAGCGCGCTCAAGCAAGCTCCGAAGTTGCGATATGGTGAGCACAGGGTCACTGCCAACGACCGGGAGGAGCAGGCTTCCTGGGGCTGGGCGGGAACCGGCGGCCAGATGCGGCTACCTATGAGGTCCCTTGTCCTAACCACTCGCTGGATCCAGGGATAGCCTGTGAATAACTTCAAGCGTCTGTGTAGAAACATCTTTGGCATGATGCCAAACTCGGAGAGCCCTAGTTTCTACAAGTTCTGTTTTTAGCACTTAGCATTAAGGTGCACGATCCATTTGGAGTTAATTTTGTGGAGGTTGTAAAAGGTATCTCATATGTTGGGGTAGCAATCTAACATCAAGCTGTGATGTAGAAGAGTAGAATTAATGATATAAAGGATTTACTAATGGTTAGGATATAATACAGTAAGTCAATCAAGTATAATTTAGCTGGAGGAGGAGTGCCTGTAAAACACCCCACAGATAAGTAGTATGCTAACCAGGCCTGTTAGAGATTAGAATGTTAGGGTATGTTTGTTCACAAAGATTGTCCAGAAATATGGCTGTAAACCATAACAAAGGAAACAACTCTGATTTACAGCCAGCCACTAGGCCCATCCCCATATTAAAGAGCAGGCCTCTAACAAGCTGCTTGCTAGGGCATTACAGGATCACAATCAACATTAAGTCCTGGTGTGCCATAAAGGTTCCGTTTTCTTTTTGAGAAAAGCATAGTTCTGCCACATGGGCAAGATGATACCAGGTGACAACCATTTGAAAAGGTAAACAAAACACTGTTGTGTTGAGTGCTGGCCTGAACAAGCAAGTCTTTCCTAGAGGTCCCCACGTATAGAGATTGGCATAGCTTCTTCTGCAACCCCATTGAGGTTTGGTCTGTTGCTATGTGTTGTAAAGCTAAATTCTGTATAGGAAGATCTAAGCCTATAAGTGAATTCTCACCATTACAAGCTTTTGATGTACAAATCTTGTTTTTAATGTAAAACTATTGGTTAAATAAAATAGTTAATATTTTACTAACTATATATTATATTATTGATTTATATATAAATGTATACTATTGGTTAAAAAAAAAAAACTGGCCACAACCAGTTAGTGGGGAGATTACCAGAAGGTGGGTTTTGAGTTACCTGGTTGGGTGGAGAGCAAGAGGATGAGGAGAGAGAAGAAAATGCCAGGAGAGCAGAGGTACCATGGGCACTTAGCCAGGAGAAACAGCAAGGTTTTGGGACACATCACTGGGGAGATAGCCAGGCCAGCGATTAGAAAAGCAGATTATGTATTACTCCCGAGTAATTGTCAAAGCCAAATAAGATAACCATAGTCTGAGTCTCATTTATTTGTAAGCTAGTCGGGAAAAGCATGAATTGGTTCTACCACAAACCCAGGAATGTGCTTTCAGAGCCAGTAGCAGGGCCTAGGCCTTGGGAGCTTTTCCTAAGGTCCTGAGGTGTAGAGATAAAACACAGCTCCTTCTCTAAAACCAGGAATATGCTTGGGAGAGCTGGTAATTGTCTGGGGCCAGGGCCTTTGGGAGGAGTTGCCTCAGATTCTGAGAACACAAGTTTCTACCATATAGGACTATGGTTATCAGTTCCAAGGCCCATTATAGGCTTGGTGAGTGATATTTTTGAGATTTTTATGCTAACTTCATTGTTTCTTCATATGTTTCTGCTGACTTCATAGAAGTCTCCTGTTTCCTTCCATTTCCCTCATGTAAGTAGTATACAAGATGGTATTCTTCATAAGAAGCTTACTTAGCATAAGAAAAATAGCTTGTGCAAGACCTCCCCACTCCAGCTTTTATACTTTCTATCTTATCCTTTTCCTATGTTTTTCATTGTCTGGGACCTTCCCCTTAGGACACTGTCACTAGCCTGCTGTTTTAGTGCACTGGTGTACTTAAGAAATAATCTTGGGGATATCTTTGCTGTGTAAATTTCCCACTTGTCTCAGTGGCTAAACTTGCAGTCTCCAGTCCATATTTAAATTGTTCAAAACAACCTGGAACCTGAACCTAAAATAGACTGAAGGGTGACAGCATATGTGGAATGCAAAATTCATCCTAGGCTGGCTTCTTTTCACATTAACCAGTGTAGATGGTCTTTGCTGTTTTGCGATTTCTTCTTTTTCTTACCCTTTATCTTTCCATGTTCCTCCCCCTCCCCTGGTTTCATCCCCTATCGTTAGATAGGAAAGAAGCAAGAATAGTGGAGAAAGATCCTTGAATCTAATTTTTTTCCTAGTACTGGAGCTGTCGTTATGAGTTGAGCAGTCTCTGAGGGAGGAGCAAGGATTAAAGAAAGGAAAGGCAGAAAGAAGATGCAAAGCCAAGAGTTAGATTTAGGAAGACTGCTGGTTAATACTGCAGCAACAACAACCAGCAGCCTTGAGTTAATTTTTCATAGCCTTTTTATATTTCACAGTACCATGGGAAGCAAAGACAAAAACTAACAGAAACAGTTTCCTGAAATATACACAGAACATCTGTTCTTATCCAGAGGCACCTCCCTGTTCCTTCCTCCAAGTTTGTGGAATACAGCTTGATTATTATTTAAGTAATAGGTAAATATCCACTTATAAGTGAATGCATACCGTATCTGTCATTCTGGGTGTGGGTTACCTCAATTTTTTTTTTTTAGGTGCGTTCTCTTGCCTGAAAGTTCATGATGTCATTTTTTTTTAAACAGCTGAGTGATAGATACTCCACTGTGTAAATGTATCACATTTTTTGTTTGTTTGTTTGTTTGTTTGTTTTTGTTTGCTCATTCTTAAGTTGAGGTACCTCTAGGTTGTTTTCAGTTTCTGGCTAGTATGAATAAATATACTATGAACATAGTTGAGCAAATGTCCTTATGGTAGGATGGAACAGATTTTGGATAGATGCCTAAGAGTGGTATAGTTCAGTTTTGAGGTAGATGGATTCTCAGTGTTCTGAGGAACCATGATTTTGAGGAAATACTGATTTCTATAGTGACAGTATTAGTATGCACTCACAAGCAATTTAGGGTTGCTCCCCTTTCTCCACATCCTTGCCAGCATGAGCAGTAACTTGTATTATTGATCTTAGCCATTCTGACAGGTGCAAGATAGATTCTCATAGTAGTTTTGATTTACATTTCCTTAATGGCTAAGATGGTGATGATTTCTTTAAGCATTTCTTAGCTATTTCAGATTCTTCTGCTGAGACTGTTTATATCTATACCCCATTTTTTAATTGAATTTTTTGCTTTGGAAAGTCTAGTTTCTTGAGATCTTTATATATTTGGTATATTAGGCCTCTATGAGATGTGGATTTGGAAAAATAAATCTTTTTCCATTCTTTAGGCTGCCTCTTTGTCCAAATGACTGGATTTTTGCCACTTTTAATCCACTTTCTATTATTGGCAAAGAAGAGAAACAGAGTGCACAGGATGAGTGTTGGCCTGTAATTTCTTTGATTTTTTTTTTATTATAGTCTTGTAGTTCATGTTTAAAGACTTACACATCTGTCTTTCTGTCTCCTTTTATTTGTGGTGCCATCTATGTTGTGTTATTTTATTCATTATAATCTAATTATATTCTTTCTTTGGAACATGATAAGCCTTCACCTATTTTTGTCTTTTCATAATTTATTATGTTAATGAGTTTCTTGAGTTTTTGATAGTTTGGGAAACAGTTTTAGTTTCCTCTTCTTGATCCTGAAGGCTTGCCTCTCCTCATTTCTTGGCTACTCTGAGTTGTCCAGTTGTTACAATCATCAATTTTTGGGTTTTTGCTACTTAAATGATTGATATGGTTAACACATTTATTAGTTTTTTAAATTTTTCTGATATATTATTGTCTCTGTGTCCTAATTAGCTTCAGTCATGAACATTTTAGAGCCTACTGTCATCTGAGGGAGCCTCACTTGAGGGCATGCCCACATCAAAATGGCTGGATGCTGTATTAGTGAGAGATTATGTTCAGTGATGATTGATGTGAGAAGGTTCTTCCACAGAGGGTAGCAGTATCCCTAAGCAACTGTGCTTGGGCTGGTAAAGAAAGCTGGCTGAGTATGATACAGTGACTAGGCAAGAGGACAAGCTAAGAAACAATATTTTGGCCATGGGATTTGCCTTATTTTCTTGAAGCTTGAGTTTCTATCCTAAGCTCCCAAAAATGATGGTTTGTGATCTGACAGGACCAAACAAGTGAACCGGTCATTACCTGAGATGCTTTTGGTTAGAGGATTGAATCAAAGCAGCAGAGTAGCAAGTTAAAACAACAACAACAAAAAAATAATATTGTTGCTAAACAGAACCTGGAAATGTTCTCTTTTGGAGGAATGTGGGAAATATCAGGACTTGAGATGGCCAACAGCATAGAAAGTTATACTCAGAGCTTAATCAGCTGTTCTTGTAGCACCCGAAGATCAGAGCATTGCTAGTAATGAAGACAGAAGTTGAGGTCATAGGATATCAGTGGAAAATAGACTCCATGAAAAGTTTAGCTAGAGGTAATTTGTGTTGTTTATTTACCCAAAATCTTTCTTATTCTGCCCATGCCCCGAGAAATTGAGTAAGGCAGAATTTAAAAAATAATTGGCTGTATTCTTAGATGGAATATTGAATCTGTTAGATGATTATTGCTAGTAACTCATTCAAGACAACGGTGGAAAAAAGCAATACATGGGGCAGAAATAAATGCAAAGTCTGTGGCTTATAGAGAAAACAGCACGGGGGAAGTTTCAGATAGCTGTCAAATGCTGAAACAGAATCATGACTTTTCAAAGAGATTATTTACTACCACTAAAGAGAAGGTCCTAGCCCCTTCCTTCTTCCTCAGCACTACCTGCGAGGTACCTGTTATCTGTTTTGTAGCATCATGGCTGCTCTTCACCCTCAGGTGAAGCATAAGATTATCAGAGGACCAAGAACTTCATCAGGCACCAGTCACACCGATATGTCAAAATTAGACAAACTCAGAGGTATTGACAACAGTGTGAAGAAGATTCAAGGGGCAGGCCCTTATGCCCAACACTGGATATGGGAGCAAGAAGAAAACCAGTCACATGCTGTTGAGCAGCTTCCAGAAATTTTTGGTCTACGATCTCAAGGAGCTGGAGTGCTGTTGGTGTTCAACAAATCTTACTAAGCTGAGATCACTCACAATGTTTGTTTTAAGAACTGAAAAGCCATTGTAGAAAGAGCAGCACAGCTGGTAATAAGAGTGACCAATCCCAACACCAGGCAAAGAAAATGAATCAATGACTTGTATGCACGGTTTTTGTGTTAAAATAAAACCACAAAAACTGAAAGAAAAGAAGACAGAGAGAGAGAAGGGGTGGGGGAAGGAATTAGTCAGGATTGAAAGCCTAAGAAGGGGCTCTAAGGGAAACACTCCCTCCTCCTAAGCCTTCAATGAATGGAAGGAGTAGGCAAAGTGATTCCTAGACTCAGGAAGGAACTTCATATAAAACTTGCTACAGCTGTGGTCCAAGCTTAGCAAGGTCCATCCCAATTTAGAGTCCAAACTTGATAGGGTCACCCAAGTTCCGGAAATAGGGAAGATGCAAAGTTTAAGGTCATGGATTCTTCCTCTGTGGTTTCATTTCAGCACTGTTACAGCCATCCGAGTTTGGCAGAGTCAGAGCCCCAGTGAGGTAGGATACTGTGAGAGTGCATTGCATGAACTTGTGAGAATGAAGCCTGAGTTGCATTCTGAGACCACAAGATGTTGAGATACCTAAGCTATGAGACACCTGCCATGGAGAGCTGCATATAGGGAGTGGAAGTAACTATACTGAGAGGTGTATGAGAGGTTACAGGGATAGTGCCATCATCTAAACCTTTTGAAACTGAGGCCCTGTGTGTCTGAGGCAGAGCTACAGGATTTGTTTTTTTTTTTTCCTGCTGGGTTTCTTGCTTTGATCCAATATTCCCTCCCTATATACACATTATATATTCCCTATCTATTAGAATGGGAAGGAGTATTCTGTGCCATTGTGTATTGGAATGATATAACTTGCTTTCTGATTTTATAAGATGTGTCAATCAAGAGATTGTCTTAAGTGTTAGAACAGACTTTGGATATATGAAGAGCATGCAGGCTGCTGCAGACTCTTAGGATCATTGAAGTTAAAGTAAATGCATTTTCATCATGGTTGAACCTATAGTGACCAGGGTCAGAATCTTGTTGATTGAATCAGAAAGCTGCCAGATAGAGTGATGTTTTTGAACACTTGTCTCTCCTTTTTAGCTTTCTATGAGAGAGCTTGTAATGTTAGGGTCCAAGAATCTTTGAAGAAAGACCCCCAGACTCGAATAGTATGCAAAAGCTAAGTACATTTTATTCTGCAGAATTCTAGCATGTAGGGGGTCTACCATTCACTTAGGATGTATCAGACATGTGAGCTTTGCAAGTTCAGTTTAACGCCAGTTAGGAGAGTTCCAGGGAGGAGTAAGTGACCTTTGTCCTGATTGGTTGGCTCAATTTCCAGGGGTATGAGTGTCTTTGGGATTGGTCAAGGATCTAGGGAATTTGAGGGAATTTCCAGAACCAATGCTGATTAACTCTTCTTGGCTCAGGCTTGGGTCAGGTCTGATGACAGGAGCAGCTCCTGATTGGCTGAGTGAGGGGTGGTTTTTCTGGAATTCACTTGTTTTGGACTTCTTCCATTCTGGGAAACAGAAACGTAGGAATAGTCTCCCAAACTGCCAGTTTGCAGCCTGTCATGGAGTCAGCCTGGATCTGGCCAACTCAGTCCTCTCAGTAGAAACTTTTGTAAGAGGAACCTTTCTAGATTCTTTGTTGGAGATGAGATTTGAGTGTCTATACACTCATTTCCTGTTTGTGTGTGTGTGTGTGTGTGTGTGTGTGTGTGTGTGTGTATGGTGTGTCTATCTACTGTGGTTGGACCTGATCAGTCAGCTTCCTTCTCATGTTGTTTTGCCTTCACCATTATAGACTATCCCTAAAACGCATAAGATGCAGTTGAAGAATTTGTTATTCAGTGCTATGCTATTTTGCGAGCCTGGTGTTTTTATATTTTTAATTTTGTTGTTTTTGTTTTTAAAGACAAAGTTTCTCTTTGTAGCTCTAGCCATCCTGAAAGTAGGTGTGTAGAGCATGCAGATCCACCTGACACTGGCTCCAGAGAGCTGGAATTAAATGTGGGCCAGCATGCCTGGCTTTTTCTTTGTTTGTTTTTATATCATTGGCTGATGGGCCTGGAATGTAGGTTTTGATACATGTCAAGCATATGCTGTTGTGTTTATCTTCATCCACATTGTGAATTTTGAAATTTGGCAGAGAGGATATTCTATTTCTCAGGATGACATGAATTCATGATATTAATACTGCATGAGCTTTCTGAGACACTGAGTTGCAGGTGCATAACATTCATTTGTCCAGTTGTGTTTGTTTTGACTTTTTTAAATGAATATGAGTATTTTGCTTGTGTGCATGAATATGCACATCATGTATGACTGGTCCCCATAGTTGTCAGAAGATGGCTTCAGAATTCCTGAACTTGGAGTAATGGATAGTTGTGAAGCAACTGGCAATTGAGCCTAATTATTTGCAAGACCAGTAAGAGCTCTTCATTACTGAGCCATCTCTCCTGTCCTAGTTAGGTTCAAAATTTACATTGCCAATATTTTCATCTGTTCATTTGTAACTGTTTAAAGATGCATCCTATTTTAGTAAGCTCGTTACTGTTACAGTTTAAACTGGGGCACTTTGGGATTCTGGAAGATGAATACAGAACTGGAGTGAATGTGTAAATATTTGTAGGAACTTCAGTAAAAACCTCAAAGTTCTTTCTGTCTTTCTTGTTTGTTTGATTTTACAGGGGAGAGAGGGTCTTAACATGTACCTCTGGCTGTCCTGAATAGACCAGCCTGGCAACCAACTCAATGAGATACACCTGCCTCTGCCTTCGGAATGCTAGGATTAAAGCCATGAACCAGTACACTGAGCTTGCCCATCATTTTTTCTAGTTAATAATTGTTCACATAATTTCTCTGATGTGTGCTCAGTACTGCTTGTTTCTCTCTCCCACTCACTCTCTCCCTCTCTCTGTTAATTAACATTTCTCTTGCAAGTTTATATCCTATTCAAAGGGCAAAGACATGATAAAGGTGAACCTTATTATTATTCAGTTTCCTTCTAAGATGACTTGGTAATTACATTAGAACTTCTGGGTCAAGAAATAAGTGGAGGAGGCACCAGAATCTTACAAATATATTATCAATGATGCATTCATTTACAGTGATGTTGGAATAATGGTTTCTGTTGTACAAATAAATGGGATATTTTAGGATGTAGTGACCTATGATGATGTGCATGTGAACTTGACTCAAGAAGAATGGGATTTGCTGGATCCTTCACAGAAGAGTCTTTACAAAGATGTGATGTTGGAGACCTACAAGAACCTCACTGCTATAGGTAAGATAGTGTATTTTCTTTCACTTTTTAAAATACGCGAACAACTGTTTCTTTGTTACTGATGCTTTTCTGTAAGTTCAATTGAGAATGAGGAAGAATGAGGTGAATAAATCAGGTTCACTAAAGATAGTAACTTAAATTTTGCCTAATTTCCAATAATATATCATCTATTTTCTGGTACTGTTTTTAGGATACAATTGGGGATACCATAATATTGAAGAACATTGTCACAGTTCTAGAAGACGTGGAAGGTAATTTTCATGTGCAAGTTAGTTTGAATGTGCCTCAGAAGAAATGTTAACATGTCCCAGAAGTTTTAAAGAAAGACAACAACAGTGTAAAAAAAAGTACTTGTTTAAGTGTATTGATGATGATTAAATTCTCACAAATCATGTACCGCAATGTCAGGTGTTTGATTTGTGTTTGCAAGGGATTCCTCTGTGAAGGAAGACAAGGAAAAAAATGCCTTAACAGATATTACCATTTGAATCATAGCCACATTACAGCTACTCTGTAGAACTGCCAATCTATATTTAGTTTCATACCACTCACATATTTCAATAGATAGATAGATAGATAGATAGACAGAATAAGTGATAAGTATATGTTTCTAATAATCAAATATTACATAGTATAATATTGCTAAGTTTAAGTGTGAGGGGCAGTTTATAAGAATCAAGAATGTTGTTGGGGAGAAACCTTCATCCCTATACCACATGTCTATGATGAACAAAAAGTCAAACTTTGAGAATGCAATGTGGAAATCTTTCATTTGTTATTTTTCTTTTAAAAGATATACCATGTGTCACAATGGATACAAGCCATGTGAATGTAGGGATATTGAAAGAAGCAGTGTACCTCTCTCTCCCAGAATAATTAAAATATATGTAGTAGTCCCTATTCGAGTAGACTTTCTCAGTGTGATACAAGTTTATAATAAGTTGGTTTTCCAACTTCATTGGGAATATATCCATAAACTCACACTGCAAAAAATCCCTATTAATACTAGAAATGTGGAAATTCTTTTCTATTTGTCCTGGTTCACATTGCCAATGTAGTATGCAAATGTAGTGTATTTCACAATATAAGAAAATTTATGAATGTACTCAGTGTGGTAAAGCTCTGAGATCTTCCATTTTTCTTCAAATATGTGAAAAATCTCATAGAGAAAACAGATGCTACAAATGTGAGCACTGTAATAACACTCTTACCATTTCAGGTATCTCCAAAGATGCAAAACAAACCATAATGAAAGGGAAACCATGAATGCAAACAAAGCGAAAAATCTTAAGATGTGATTCCTTTTTCACATATGCCAATTATCTTTGCAGGCATGAAAGAAGTTGTATTGGAGAGAAACCCTCTGAAGGTACTCAATATGATGAAGCCTTTGTATATCACCATAATCTCCAAATACATAAAAGACATACTAGAGAGAAACCCTACAAATGCAATCGATGTGATAAAGCCTATTCACAACATAGTCATCTCCAAAGACATAAAAGAACACACACTGGAGAGAAACCTTATGAATGTAAGCAGTGTGGTAAAGCCTTTGCATACCATTCTGAACTTCAGAATCATGAAAGAATTCATACTGGAGAGAAACCCTACAAATGTAATCAGTGTGGGAAAGCCTTTGCACATCATTGTAATCTTCGAGTGCATAAAATAATACATACTGGAGAGAAGCCCTACAAGTGCAATCAATGTGATAAAGCCTATTCACAACACTGTAATCTCCAAATACATAGAAGTACACATACTGGAGAGAAATCGTATAAATGTAATCAGTGTGGTAAAGCCTTTGTATATTATGGTCATCTTCAAAGACATAAGACAACACATACTGGAGAGAAACCCTACAAATGTAATCTATGTGGTAAAGCCTTTGCATCTCATCGTTATCTCCAAGTACATAAAAGAACACATACTGGAGAGAAACCCCATGAATGTAATCAGTGTGGTAAAGCCTTTGTTTATCATGATCATCTTCAAATCCATAAAAGAACACATACTGGAGAGAAACCCTATGAATGTAAACAGTGTGGTAAAACCTTTGCAGCTCATCGTTATCTCCAAGTACATAAAAGAACACATACTGGAGAGAAACCCTATGAATGTAATCAATGTGGTAAAGCCTTTGCATCTCATAGTTATCTCCAAGTACATAAAAGAATACATACTGGAGAGAAACCTTATGAATGTAATCAATGTGGTAAAGCTTTTGCATATCCTGGTTATCTCCAAGTACATAAAAGAACACATACTGGAGAAAAACCCTATGAATGCAGTCAATGTGGTAAAGCCTTTGCAGGTCAGAATGTTCTTAAAAGACATGAAAGAATTCACACTGGAGAGAAACCTTACAAATGTAATGAATGTGGTAAAGCCTTTGTGTGTAGCACTAGTCTCCAAATACATAAAGCAACACATACTGGAGTGAAGCCTTATGAATGTAAGCAATGTAGTAAATCCTTTGCCTCTCATGGCCAACTTCAAAGTCATGAAATAATTCATACTGGAGAGAAACCCTACAAATGTAATGGATGTGATAAAGCCTATTCACGACACAGTCATCTCCAAAGACATAAAAGAACACATACTATGAATGTAACCAATGTGATAGAGCCTTTACAGGTCACAGTGATCTTCAAAGGTTTGGTGGTTTGAATATGCTTGGCCCATGGCAAGTGACACTATTAGGAGCTGTGGCCTTTATTGAGGAAGTGTGGCAGTGGGCTTTGAGATCCTGTGCTTAAGCTCCACCCAGGGCAGAAGAGTCTTCTGGCTGCCTTCTGATCATGATGTAGAAGTCTCAGCTTCTCCAGCACCATGTCTGTTTGGACACTGCTATTCTTTCTACCTTGGTGATAATAGACTGAACCTCTGAATCTGTACAGGACCTCCAAATAAATGTTGTCCTTTATAAGAATTGTCTTGGTCATGGTATCTTTTTCACAGCAATAAAACCCAAACTAAGACAAAAGGCATAAAAGATATCACACTGGAGAGAAATACTGTGAATGTGTTGAATATGGTGAAGCCTTTGTACATTTCTATAATTCTTATTACAATAGAAGTATTTATAGTTCCATTCACTGAAACCTTGTGAATGGAAGCAATGTTCAGCCTTTGCCTTTCACAGTTATCTCTCAATGTAGAAAATAACACATACTAGAGAAAAGCCTTATGAATGCAGAGTGTGACAAAGTCTGTTTTAAAATCTCCATAGATCCATAACAATTCAAACACCTAGTCAAAGTAAATGCCAGGAGTTATTGTAATCAAGCTGTTTGGGTTAAAAGGTTAGGTGTTAGGATTAGGCATTGGGGTTAAAGGTTAAGGAGTTAGGATTGAGGGTTAGGGGTATGGTTTAGGATTAGAGGGTTAGGGTTGTGGGGTAAGGGTATAGGGGTTAGGATTTAGGAGGGTTAAGGTTAGGGGTTAGCATTAGCAGGATTAGGGCTAGGGGTGTTGTGGTTAGGGGGCAGTTAGGGTTAAGGGTTATGGTTAGGGTTATGGGGAAAAGAAAAAACGAAATCCCAGCAGTGATTCCTTTTAGGGTTTGGTTTAGGGCTAATTTTACCGTTAGGGTAATAAAGACAAAATAGAGAAAGAGAGAGAGAGAAAGCAGGCATTTTAGAGTATAAATGGGAGGTTGGGGAAAGGGAGGGATGAAAATGATATAAATATAGTGTTCACACATTCTCAAAACAAATAGAAAAAAATCAAAGTGAATAATCTCAAAGTAAATCAGAGGTCAAGGAGAGCTATTACCACACACATTAATGAAATTCAGAAAAATTGTTAGGTCTTACCTTATATATTCTCATATATAAAACTTATATATTCCAATGAATTGGAAAACTCTAAAATAGAATACATAGATTTCTAGATGTATTTGACCTACCAAAAGTAAATCATGAAGATATATATATATATATAGATATATATATATATATATATATAAATTGAACAGCTTGCTAGAAAGCAATAAAACTGAAGCAGAAGTCAAATATTTGCCAATAACAAAAATTACCAGACGTTCAATGAAATGCTAATCCAAATACTTCTCAAACTATTTTATTAAATACTAAGTAAGGGTACATTACCAAACTCTATATAAAGCTGGTATTAGTCTTATACTAAACCAGATAATAAAAAATTACTGATCAATCTCATATATATATGTATATGTATATATATGCAAACTTTCTTTTAAAATATTTGCAAACTCAATAATATATCAAAATATCATCACGATCAAGCTGGTTTATTCCAGAGTTGTAGTGCTGGTTCTGTATGTCAATAAATTTTATAAATTTCATAAATGATCTCTGGTTTTTGATGGAATAGAAATTATATGACATCTTGATAGACAAGGAAGACTTTTGACAAAACCAACATCAATCATGTCAAACATCCCTAAGAAAGTCAGAATATAAGAAACATATCTCACCATAATAATATATATGGCAAGCCTATAGATGACGTATTAAATGCAGAAACCATGGGTTCCCTCTTTCCTGACTCTCATTCAAGATGGTACTGAAAAAAATCTTAGAACAATATAAAGCAAATAAAAGGAGTATGATATGGAAAGGAAGAAGTCAAAGTACCTCTATTTGCAGTTAATATAATTCTATACATTAAAGACTAATGATTCCACCAGAAAACCAAAAGAATCAATAATTTCAACAAAATGGCAGAACACAAAAATGATATATAAAAGTCAGTAGCCTTTTTGTAAACCAATGAAAAATATACTGAGAAAGAAATCTGGAAACAGTCCCATTCATAACATGTTAAAAATCTAAGCAAAAAAAAAAAAAATCTCTTGAATTAAACCTGATCAAGGAAGTGAAAGACCTCTATAATGAAAACTTTAAATACCAAAGAAAGAAATTATGACACTAGAAGATGGAAAGACCTTACAGGCTCATGGGATAGCCATACTTCCAAAATCAATCTACAGATTCAGTGCAATTCCAAGAGAAATTAAGGGGGTTGAGAAATATTGTCAAAATAGATTACATACATGCATAAAACACAATAATAAAATCAATTATTCTATATAATGAATATTTATTAAAACATTTTTGAAAACTTTAGATCCAAGCTGTTTTTAGAAGCATATACAATCACATACACACACATACGAACAAAACTCCAAAACACTAGTCAGGCATATGATGTTCTGCCAGTAATCCCAGCTCTGGTGAGGTGGAAACAGGTGGAACTCTGGGATTCATTGTCAAGACAGCCTAGCCTAAATTATTGATCTCAAGTGAGAGACCCAGCTTCAAAAACAAGGTGGATATTACCTGAGGAACAATACCCAAGGTCAAGAGATGCATGCAAACATACATGAACACACACTATATACAAATAGAGCATAATTCAGACTAAAAGCTGTGGCACATGCCAAAACATAGATGCCCCAAGAATTTTACACAAAAAGAAATAACCCAGTGGCCAAGAGACCAATATTATATGATTTTATTTATACAAGGAGCCTAGTGACATCAAGTTGGTAGCAACGGAAAGTAGCATGGTGATTGCCAAGGGCTATGAGAAGGAGAAGTGAAGAGTTAGTATTTATTGGCTAAGTTCAGTTTAAAATGGTAAAAGAATTCTGGTGATCAATGGGAATCATAATCCCACAATAAGGTGCCATTCAACTATCAACTTAAAAAGATAAAAATGATAGTTTTCATATTATGTATATTTTACAAGAATAATAAATAAAAGGTCCCCCCTCACCATAAAGTGATAGGGAGGCTAGTCCCCGTATAGCTGCAACTCAGTAACACCAATGTTCGTCTACTTTGGTCAGTTTCTTAACTGTTTCACTGCATTTATATATTTGTATCTTAACAATAAAGTAACATTAAAATGTATGCCAAGGTCTTTTCTAAGGTATCTGTTGAAATCTCAAAGGACACTCCTTTGAGTGACTTAGTGTAATAGAGGCAGCTGTTGTCTCTGAAGTGCTGAGAAGAAGGCAGAATCATAGTGAAGCCTGAGTGCTCTGCACAGCAGTAACTCCCAGGCAGTACTTAATTAGTTTATTTTCCTTTCTAAAGCTTTACAGAATGAAATTTTATGGCTATCTGTTTGGGTTGATTAATCCCATGTACTTCCACAAGAAGTCCACCATTAGATGCTTCTTCTGTCCTCAAATGTCTTTTTTTTTTTTTTAAGTATGTCACTGAGGCTAGGGTGTGTGAAACCCCTAGCTGCACTGGTGGTGACCTGCAACATGCAAGGATTTTTTTTCTTCACTAAATGTTTGTGTCATCTTTGGTGGTGGAGAGATGTTTAAATTCATGCTAACATAAGAATATGCTCAGTGCTTCTTAAGATATTTAGACTAAAGTTTCATGTAACAAACATCAGTTTATTACTCCTAGAATAGCAAGCAACCTCAAGACAGGATAAGCAGTAACCAACACAACGCTTAGCATTCAAAATTGAGTGACTCAAATTCTAGCTCTGAGTCCCAGACCAATGAAGTGCTAGACAGCATCCTAGAACCTTCATCTATAAAACTGACTAAATAGCACATACCTTTCATGATTTCTGCAAAATTAAGGGTGAAATGTGTTAAACTGTGCAGGCCCTGTCACCTAACAGACACTAAATAAACATTAGTTACTATTTCTATCACTGGTATTAGTGTATTAGAGAGCCTATAGGTGACAACAGTAAGTGCACACTGGTAAACTGTTTTTGTTTTTCTTTCCCCACATCATTAGGAATAATGAGAGGTTGAAACTAAGACAACTCTAGCAATTAGCATTTTGGATTGATTTCTTTTTTTTTCATGATTGATATAAAATTTATTAGAGCAAATTAAAAGCAACTTAATTTTGACTTTTTTTTCTGAAGGATGCAGGCAATTTATTTAAAGTCAGGGAAGGTAAGCTATAATAATGCTAAGACTTACACACACTCACTATATATATATATATATATCCTGCCACCCATGTTCCCTTGGATTCAGAAATGGTTCTGAGAGATGTTTATATGGGACTGGCTGGGGTAACTGTCCTGAGACAGGAGGGAGTGGAGTGTCAAAGTTAGATTTCACAACTGAGGATTAATTGGGGAAATTAAGATAGAATCAGAACACATCTGAGTACAGGCACTTGCCCCAACCTCAAACTTTGAGGGTTCCTATTAACAGCAAGTGGTGTTTAAGATGGATACACAGTTTCTTTTTTTTTTTTTAGGTTTTGATATAAAATGTATTTCTTTTTTTTTCTTTTTTTCTTTTTTCTCAAATCGTAATTAATTCACACAGGGGTTATAAACACAGAAAGGCAGGATGTGGGGAAGGGAATGACACTGGATTGTGGGTGTTCAGGGGGAATACAGATATCTTCAGAACCGGGTATCGGTTAGGTGAAGTTTCAGGGGACAATTCACTATGACTCTGCCTATGACTCGCTTGTCCTTATCTAAGTTGATATTGTCTGCCAAGGCTACCTATTTACAAGGTCTATGACTACTCAGGCTTATAAATTTCCACAAAAGCTGCCTGTTGACATTAGCTTATAGCCATCTGTTTCAATTGGATTGATTTCAATAACATCATTTTCACTTGGTCTTGCTAACTCTGAACTTTGCTAATATTCAACCCATCTTTTTAACCGTTTTTAAAAGCAAAAATATCATATAAATGCAACATTAAGGCAAGCTGAGAACTGTTTTTTCTTTTTAAATTATTTATTTTTAGTATGTGTGTGGGAGTATGGGGGCATCCTCAGAGACAAGAAGTGTCTGGTCCCCTGCAGCAGTTAGAAGCAGTTGTGAACATTCCAACGTGGGTGCTGGGAACCAGGTCTTGGTCTTCTTCAATGGCAGTCTGTGCTCTTAACCAATGAGCCATCTCTCCAGCCTCAAAACTGCTTCTTTTAGTGAATAAAG